ATGCATTTATTTACATGTAATCAGTAGACTCCAACTTGAAAGGGTGCATATAAAAATCAATAACACGAGTAGTTAACTGCACATGTAAAGCTGCAAAGTCGCTTTTGGCAAATTTGCTATTTGGTTACAGTCAGTAATTTCTCTGCCTGAAGTTGGCAAGACATTATGTACTTCTGAAAACTTTCTGGCATACCAGTATCTAGAATAGCTTTCATTAGGTACTAACTTTCTTTGAAGATAATAAAATCTTGCCTTGCACTCTTAAACAAAATGTAACCATCAAAAAACAGAAAAACAAATGTCATTGCTAACTATACGACTACAACCCGTGTCACACACAACATGATTTCCTCAAGTGCCCTACTGGTGAATTCGTGTAACGAAAGAAACAGCAAGGCCATTATGGGTGGTATAAACACGGCTTTACAACCCTTCTAACTTAACTCGAGCGGGTATTCACGTTTACAAGCTATATGGACAGCCTCTCTTCAATGTACAGGCAACAACCTGCAAGTCTGAAGCCGGTTGAAAGCCCGACCTGCAAGTACACTCTGAAGAAAACAATAAAGCTACAACTTATTAACATTGAATGACGGGCTTACAAAATTATTACAGACTAGATACCGATCAAAAACCGCTTACACCTATTATACATAAGTGAGCAACTTAATTTTTCGCGAATATTAAACACCAATGCTGAACAAAGACAGCTTAAATTGTCAGCAGCCCACATTTGTCGGTGTAATAACAGGGTACGGCGGGCTGCGTTTCTGTGGTCTCGGATATCATGTGAGATACATATTTCCGAAATTTCAAATTATAAAAATGACAGTTATTTTGTAATAACATGGTGGAGTTTTTTGTCGTATTAGAGGTAATTGACTCGAACGGAGCAGTCTGGAATGCTGAGGGGCTACCTATATATTCATTTTCTTTGTATCGATGCGGAGAAGACAAGACTGAAATATATATTCCGGATGATTAGAGGGATAGAAAATTATTGGCAGAGCCCGATGTAAATTTTTTGCGTGCAAAATTGTATAAATTTATACTCCGAGTATCATTTTGGAATTTAAATTAGATAATTATATTTGAATTGGCTTTTTGATGCTGTCTGGTGGATTTGATTGGGTTAAAATCGTTTTAATTAGCATTTTCATTTTGGGGAAAATTAATATTTTAATTATAGGAATAATAACGACGATTAAATTACAGCATGTATTTTTAAAACGGCAGACAAATTAATTAACAGTCGATGACGATTTCATAAATGTGAAGAAGTGTTTATAATCACAAAAAAACGTATTAGCATTAAGATGCGATTAATTTCTTGGTTTTACGTGACGCGTAAAAACGAAAAACAAGAGTTTGATTACGTTCCATTAACAAATTAAGAAAAACAAGAATTTTATGAATAATGGTAATGGCAGAGCGACATTAAAACGTGCCCCGTGGATAAATTAAGGAAAGATAATAACCAGTACAATGGAATTCTTACGGTCGTAATAATATCTGAAATTTTATAAAGAGTTTCTTTCGAATTTAAACTCGTTTACATTCGGCGAGAGGCAAACTAAACCTTTGATCTTTGTTGTTAAAGAACTAGTTGTCCCTTGTTCGTGTGGTTCGACGAGATCCGACAAGCTGTGAACACATGAACTTGGCATTTCATGAATGGTAAGGCATAGTGGCACCATGCCTCGTGCTGACTAGACGAAAGTAAAACGAACCACGCCGTTACTGTTCACAGAATTTATGCCTTACAGTTGTTTATTAGTCTGTCATCGCCATTTTTAAAGACGCGCATTTTTTGTAATTTTTGTAAAAAAAAATGTTGGCAAAAAAGATATTACTACAATTTTCTAATAATAAAAACTGTTATTCTTAGACATTTCATGGATATGAAAATAATTATCCTGTGATGGCCGAGTATCACTGTTTCCATGGTACGAATCGCATTAGTACGAACTTTAATTTAAATCAGTGGCATGTCAAGCCAACCTTAACAATTGTTAATGTTACCATTTCAAAATGCAATGATCCTATTATTATTGAAATCATACAGATTTCCGATAAAACAGTTAGTATTTTTTAACCAAAGTGACAGAATTGCATAAATTTCATCACCTATTATACTCATTTCCAGACGGAAAATACCACCGTCGAATTTATTAATCATTTTCAAACGTCAATCTTTACACAGTTACCTGTTCACAGCATGGTCTGTGACTCTGATTACCAGTGTTCCCTCGGCCATTAAAAAACTAGGACAAGCTGTTGATGAAGGGTGTCAACCACAAGACTCGTGTCATTTAAATTGACTTAATTGTTATTTTTAATACATACATATAAAACCATTTATTATTGTTACTACGATTACTATTTGTACAATAGCATACCTAAAAGCGGTTCTCTATTTGATATCAAACTTACACCCTTGCTGTTAATGGTTTAGTTTTATAAATCACACTTTATACATTCAATTTTCAATATAATAAGTGTCTCATGCATTTTCAAATAATACATTGTTTTTTCAACAGAATCCATATAATTTTATTTGCAACTATTTATAGCTCTATAATTTAAGAAAATATCTCCAATAGCGATAAAAAATCGCGTCCCTGATCTTAATCGTAGAATGTTGATAAAGTTAAGTAATGAATATAAAGATAGAACAAAATAAATAATGAATTTAAAAACTTTATTATTAAAGAAAAAAAAACAACGACAAGCTCTATAGAATGTTTGTTACTGCAAACTCAAGTAAATATAGTCCAACGAATTAAAAATATGAACTAGTCGTACATAACATTGTTTGTATGATGTATACTAATTCACCTTTGACAAAATCTAGTAGAGAAGTTTTTTTAATTAAAAAATAATCATTTCATACAATATTTTTGTGCACGTCAGAGTTTGAATAACATTTAATTCATGATCTACATTTAATATAATCACTAGTAATTGCTGCGACAACCCAAGACACTAGTTTTTAGTAAATCTTGGCGAAAAACAATACGAAGAGTTCTATATTCCTATATTTAATTTTGTTTTTCAGCTATTACGCGAATTCGTTGCGGATCCACTTCTTATTTTTGAAGCATCTTTTGAAATCGTGTCCATGTTATAATCAAATTTATCACAGAACACCCACGTTGTCATATGTAAAGAACGTATCACATAAATAAAGACTGATTATAAATGTCTGTCCATCTAAGCTGGTTGTGTATACGCTCCATTCTGATGATGAATTCGATTAGTTATAAATCTGCCAAATGTCAAATTTATGTAACACGGTTCGCACACAATGTTTACACGTTCGAATCAATCATTTGGAACATATGAAAAATTTGTTATTTTAATGTAAAGTCATAGCCAACTTGATGAATAACATTTATAACGGGCCTGTAAAATTCGAATGTTAAAGATCTTTTTTTGTTTTAACAACTGTTTTGCACGTTTGTTGTATTGCTAATTCCGAATATGAATTTAATTTTTTGCTATCACGTAAGGTTTATGTTTAATCTTTTTCTCCTTTTATAGACAGAGTACAGAATTTTAATAAATGATCCAAGTGGGCACTGATTTGAGCCGCCTCTTCCGGAATGTGTAACTATAATAGTCGCTTCCAATCATCTCCATAGCAACGAAAGTGCAAATATGTATCATGATTATTCTGCGAGACGGGATATTAACCATATTAATTAAAACTTTCAAAACGTCTTCCAGTACTAAGGTATACAGTACTTTTGCCTACAAAAAATCATTTTTCAAGTCATGTCAACAATATTATCTTATGTTGCAACAAGCACACTTGAGTACAACATAATCGAATTATACTTCAAAAAAATCAAAAAATCTTACGGTATCAATTAATATGAAGCGGCAAGATTATCAATAAATCAATAACATTCGTTTAATACATACTTCAATGGTGAATTAATGTTAATAAATTTATAAAATCAAAAGTACGTATGACGATAAGTGCTTTTAGTTGAAAAAATAGCAGAATTTAATTTAAAAATAAAAAGTTGCAAACAGTAGCTCGAAACAATTACAACTTTGGTAATTTGGCTCCATTATTGTAAATTATTCCAATATACTTTTAAATTCGGCTTCTACCACGTGCTGATATATTTACTAAAAACAGCAGTATCTAAATCAATAAATCTAAAACAATGGGTAGTTCTGGTCATTTAGTATTAACCAAAATCAAGATCATCACATATCACATATACATAGATATATTATCTGGGCTTACTATTAGTTTAAGAAAAATAATGTGTGACAGGAATTAGTTTTTAAGTAATTAATTACGAACCTTTCAACAGTCGTGTTTATTTACCGAAAACCAACATCGTTCCTCTTATTGTTCCCCCTAAATTCACCAGTTTAGTAAAACTAATAAAGGTTTTCTTTCCCTGCTTTGAAATGTGTACATAAACAGTTTGTAATTAGAGTCAACCAATTAGGCAACCCTTCTACTTATTTAGAAGATACATGCACTTTTTATCAAACATCCAATTTATGCAACTACAAGTTATTAAATGTTCTAATTTACCATAATTAGCTTTATTAGAGCAATTCACAGTAATTCTACTTTTTTAAATAACCTGTTCAAGAAAAAAAAAATAAATAACGTTTACATGAATGTTTTCAACCGACTCTGTAGTTTGGAAAATTTAAATTGTGTTGTAAAATTGTATCAACCCTCAACTGCTATAGAAAAAAGTCTGCAGTTTAGTTATTTTTTATTTAACAAAATTACATTGAAAACATTTTTCATGTACTATTTTATCTTACTATTTTTGTGTAAACCTCTGCATTGCATTACGAAGAAAAAGAAAATGTATCTCCGTGTGTACAACTGAATGCTATATTTATCATGTTACGTATTTTTTTTTAAATCGGCCTTAACATTTTAATATGTAAAATTTCGTAACAAACTAAACGATACACAATAATTGAAAAAAATGTTAAAATACTCTTTTTCCACTTACCTAAGACGAACACAAAAAATACAAAATAAAGACCAGACATTTTTAAAAATAAAAAATAAACAATCACAAACAATTATCACGTGTGCACAAATAAACACAAATAAATAAAGTTTAGTTCACATTTCGTGTAAGTCAGTCAATGTAACCGTGAAGCCGTAGTAAACAATAGATAACGTAACGTACACACACACGGAGCCTGTGCACCCCTACGACAGTCATACGAAACTGGCTTTGGCTCTGGTTCTGGTTCGGTCTGATGCCTGATGAGCCAGACAGAAGGGAAAACTTGACAGGCGGCAGCCGGCAAAAGTTTATCCGGTTTATTTGAAAACCCAACAATTCCGACCCTAATCGAACTCGTACGAACTGAATTCGTGAAACAGACACGGCGTTGTAGGCAACCAAGAATGCATGAAAATTTCATGAATTTTTACTGTTCGGGGCATAACTACGTAACTACGCGAAAAATGAAAATACAATCCAAATCAGTTTATTGAACTTCACTTGTAGAATATATTTTGTTACAATTATTTGTATTTACAACAAACTTATCAAAATTCTGTTTATATTAATTTTATCGGTCCTGAAGTTTACAATAAACATACAAGTACCTACACTTAAAAAACACTCCTGTTTCTTTTTAGGTACGTTACTGCTTTGATGATGCCGTTTGCTCGTTTGCTGCTGTTTAGGAACATAAAAATCATATTATAAAAAAATTATCAAGATGTGTATTCTATATAAACTGCACTAAAATGAGTTTTTTTATAAAGATGATGATGATGATGATAATTGATAATACAGTTTTGTTACAACTAAATAAATCAGTCTCTGAATAAACTGTACCTACTTATAAATAAAAACCAATATGTATTAATACAAAGTATTCTGTCCTTTAAATTACTCACTATTTCTGAACTGTGTGCCAGTCTTTGCAACTTATGTTAAGTTAGTGTTTATGTTGGAACTACTGATAGTAAAACCTTTGCTATCATGTACTGGTTTGTATACTTGATAGTTAAGTTCTATTGTTAATTTTCGAAATATAAAGGGGAAGTTAACGCTGACGAAAAATTTGTTAGTAAAGTATTTGACGATTTCACCCAAGAAAAAAGGAACTTGCAGTTTGTTTTCGATTAATTTTATATCTTTCTAAATCATAGTAATAGTAAACAAATATTAACATATTGTTACCGGAAGAAGAAAACGCGAGAAAACTCAGGTGAGTCTCAATCCCGAAACCCGCGTCCCGACCAGATTCCGAACAAAGCACTGAAAAACCTGTCCGAAGACATCATTGTCGAAAAAAAAAATCAGTTTTTCCCCCAAAATTATCCTCCCATCAGTCTTCTGTCTCCTGTGGGGAAGATCGCTGAAAAAGTCATTCCGAAACGGCTTTCCGAGATCGTGAACGCATCCTTCCCGACGAGAAATTTGCCTTTCGACCCCACCACTCCACCTCCGACCAACTTCTTCGGGTCTAGAATTCGCAGCAAAGTCATCTGAATAAAAGCAATTCACAGGCGCAGTCTTTCTCGATGTAGCCAAAGCTTTCGATTGGGATGAGGGACTTGTTTACAAGTTCTACTTTCGAGGCGTGCCCTTGGCGATGGTGCAACTCATCGACTCATTTCTGGACGCCCGCACGTTTTGTGCCCGCATGGGCCACACTCTTATCAGCCCAACATCCAATAAGCGTTGGAGTCCATCTGGAATGAGCGCTCTCTCCTCTGCTGTATGGGAATCTTCACCGGAGATATTCCCAAACGCCTCGAACTAGTCTCGCGATCTATGTAGACTACACCACCATTCTTATACGCTCGAAATAGGGGCACAATTTGACTACCTACTTACAGGCGGCCACTGATGCGTTGGAAGAGTGGTGCAGACGCTGGCTCATCAGTCATCACAGCCTACCTCGATAAAAGCTCGGCAGCCTTCATCACGAAAAGTTGTCAAGGCCCGGTAGGCCAACTCATCCCATGGCAGGACAAAACAAAATATGTAAGTATCTTCATTGACAAAAATCTCAGCTTTTTTCCTCACATTAACCACACTGTAGCCAAGACGAATGGAATCAAAGACGTCCTGGTGCCACTACACCGGCAGACGCAGCAAGATGTCGATCAAAAACAAACTTCTTCTCTATCGAACAATAATTCTCCCTAACATGTCTTATGACTCGCTAGCCTCGAACTACGAGCCTTCCAAAATCCAATTTCATCGTCTGAAAGTCCTCCAAACAAAAATTCTCCGATAAGGTTTCAGGGCCCCCTAGTTTGTCAAAAACAACCAGATTCTTCGGGGGGGCAACATCCCAAAGCTAAAGTAATTTCTGCACGAAATTGCATTTCGCACCTTCAAGAAAACTGAAGAACACCGAGTTCGACAAGAAAGCCTCATCAAAACGCAAGCGGCCCCGCAGGACGTTACTTGACGACAAAATCGGCTTGTGACCCCACACGCTGCTCCCACCAACCGGCCACCCATCATAGGAGGACCGTAAAATTAAGCATGTGATGGGGGGTAACCTCCTAGGCGAATCAATACCTCAACCGAAGTACAGTCTGACAACACTTTTGTGACCACTCAGAAGTCAGGACACAGGTAAAGAGGACAAATTTCTGGCACCTCAGAAGCCAGGCCAGGAAGGCAGCCAGTACAGGCAAAGCAGCCAGACCAGGTAGAGCAGCTAGATCAAGTAGATCAGCCGGTCAGCCGGCCAAGAAAAGTGGGCAGACCAGACAGAGAACCCAGAGTAGGCAGCCGGCCTGACGGCCAGGAAGACCAGCCAGACCAGATAGGCCAGGCAGCCGGCCAACCACCTAGGTAGCCCAGGCAGAGGAGGAAATCAACCAGGCAACCGGCTAGGCAAAGCATCAAAAGCATCCAGAACAGCCAGAACAGGTAGCGGCCAATCGGCCAGGCAGAACAGTTAGACCAGACGGCCGGTCAGCGGGCCAGGCAGACAAACCACACAAGACAAACCAGGCAAGATCAGGCAGCCCGCCAGGCAGAGTAGTCAGAGCAGGCAGGTGGCCAGACAGGTAAAGCAGCGTGGCCAGATTGGGCAGCCGGCCAGTGAGACCAGGCAAACCAGGCAACCGGCCAGGCAGAGCAGGCAGGAACAGTTAGAGCAGGTAGCCATCCAGGCAGAGGACCCAGAGCAAGCAAGCCGGCCAGCGGACAATTCAGATCAGGCAGACCAGGCAGCGGGCCAGCGGGCAATGCAGAGCAGCCAGACCTGGCAGCCGGTCAGCTGACAATGCAGAGCAGCCAGACCAGGCAGCGAGCCAGTGGACAAGGCAGAGTAGCGAGATTGGGCAGCGGGCCAGGCAGAACAGCGAGACCAAGTAGCAGGCCAGCGGGCAAGGCAGAGCAGTCAGATCAGGCAGACCAGGCAGCGGGCCAGCGGGCAATGCAGAGCAGCCAGACCTGGCAGCCGGTCAGCTGACAATGCAGAGCAGCTGAGCAGCCAGACCAGACAGCGACCCAGTGGACAAGGCAGAGTAGCGAGATTAGGCAGCGGGCCAGGCAGAGCAGCGAGACCAGGTAGCAGGCTAGCGGCAAGGCAGAGCAGGCAGATCAGGCAGCCGGGCAGCAAGCTATGCAAAGCAATCAGACGAGGCAGTGGGCCAGCGGACAATGCAGAGCACCCAGACCTGGCAGCAGGATAGCGGGCAAGGCGGCGGGCCAGGACGCCAGGCGGAGCAGCCAGGCCAGGCAGCCCGCCCTGTGCCCTGTGCCCTGTGCCCTGTGCCCTGTGCCCTGTGCCTTGTGCCCTGTGCCTGTATTATCCGAGTATATAATGGGCCACATAATCAGAATAAATGAAAAATCAAGCCCGAATTAAAAAAATATCAAAATAATTAACAAAAGAAACTTCAGAGAACTTAACATCACTCCAGGATCAATTATCAACACTGTGGAAAAGAAAACAAAACAAATAGATATTTATTTTATTAGGAGTTTAAGTGATACTTTATGTGACGGAGTATGGACGATTAAACGCCGAGCAATAGCGAGGCGAATTAAGTCCATACGAGTCACATAAAGTCACTTAAACTCCGAATGAAATACAATATTTTATTTTCAAACGATTATTCTTCTTTTGAAATGATTATTTCCCATCTTCTTGCTTCATTAAGGAATTGCCTTGATTTCACTTACCATGGTTACTATGGTTGACAACCACTATGATTTTCACATATTTATACTCCGGCGGAGTATAAATGCTCTATTTATACGCCGGCGGAGTATAAGCAGTACTTATGCGCAGCTCAAACACGGTGTCATAGAAATGACACTTAAACCCCGGTAAGACCGTCATATAAATGTCAGTTATATGACGTTTGAAAATAAAATCATATACAGGGTTTTTATAAATGATTCTAAAAACCCCGCTTTGCTGAAATCATGCCTCATTATGACTTGCTGACTTGTCACATTAATATATAATGCACCTAATGTCATTTCTAACCTGTCATTTAAAGTCGTCGTTTTTATTGTTTTAGCTCAAAACAACAAAACAGTCGTTTTCAAAACTTTTGGTGGTTGTGCACGAAAATTTTGTTTTTGTGCTAGGAAGCGAAGACTGTGAAAATGGTTTATTTTGTTGAACAAGACACTTTCATCGTTATTGTCTTGTTATCGCAATGGGACTTCGTAAACGAAAAGTGGGTAAGCAAGAATATTACATTAGACATGTAATCAACAAATTTGTTCGAACTGGCAATGTCAACAAAGAGAAATCTCGTGGAAGACCTTGAGTATCTGAGCAAGTTCTAGATGATTTGAGACGACTTGAGCAGAATTGAACAATTGAACAACGGGTCCAAACTATTGACGAAAGGATGTTACAGAAAATTTTTAAAATTAAAAAGAGGGTGAACATGTGCCTTGAACAAAATAATGAACATTGTCAACATTTACTGTGATGTTTAACAGCAATAAATTTGTTTCTTTTTATTGTAATGAATTAGTTTTATTTTTTTAAAAGATATGAAGCATTTCGGCAACCAGTTATGCAAATGCGCGTGGTCTTTATCATGCCTCCTTGGGCATTTAATAAAGTCTAAAACTGAGAGACGGCACGTTTACATAACCTACTGCGACCCTATACTCATTTATAGAAACCCTGTATAATACGATAAGAACTATTCATTTACGCGATAAAATTAAGAGGTTACCTGAGAACATGTTGCTTAGGAAAATTTCACGAGCGCAAACACCAACTTTGACTCGATTTAAAGCCCAAACGTGAAGCTTGAGGATTTTAAGAGGCAGTGGAGGTGTTTGCATGAGGGGCATTTTCAGATGCAACAGTTTGAAGGTAACCTTGCAAATTTAATCGCGTAAATGAATAGCTCGAAGGGTATTCAGATGATTAATACATAAAACCGGAACATCTTGACAACTTTGAGATACTGTCAAAGTGTCAAAATCAATTTAATGTCCGACAATCAGACCACAAAGTTTCAAAAAAATTGTTACGACCCTGTTTTCTGTCGTTTTAACAGATACTTTTGCCGACTTACCCACAGAGGAGGGAGGACTCTTTGTTGTCAATATAATGGGCGCCACCAGTATTGTTTAATGAGATTCAGGGCCAGGACCAACAACTACTGGAAAATGTTCCCGACCCAATACATAATTTAATCAGTTACTAGTTTACAATTAAAATGGCAAAGAACAAATAATTAAAACGAGTTAACAATTAAGAATCACGGTCATAATACCCTTTAAGGGAACCACGCAATTAAAGCTTTAACTTTACAATTTTTACAACTCAACTTCAATTACTCAATAACTACTAACTACACTTCAGGAAAAAAAACAAAAAAAAACTAATATCTCTCTAAGAAAATGGAAAAGGGGGAGTCTTAAGGCTTATCTGACGAAGATGGTTGTCGACAGGTGGTCTTCCGTTAAGCCACAAGAAAGGTATCGGCAGGCTATCGCACTGGGAGACGGAGTCTTGACTCGGGCGAAGATAGGGGTATCGCCGGTCTAACGCACTCCGGAAGCGTAAACCTGGCTCGGCCAAAGAAAGACGACGGTGCCAAAAAAAAAACCTGCTTCCGAGGGTTTCCGCGCACCAAAGGACCTAATTCAGTCGTACTCTTGATTTATCTGTTTTTTTTTTTGTTTTTTTTTAAAGTCCCCATTCAATGTCAAGGAAACCGCCCTTACCTGGAATCCCCGGCACCACGATAAGCCGACTAATGTAACAAAATGTTTCACTGAAAAGTGGCGGAATGTATGTAAATAACGTAACTTAGTACAATAACTAACTATTCTGTTTTAACATTATTATATCTCTAGTAATTAAACACATAAACACATCCTTACCTGAGCTGAATAAACACCAACTTGGTGTTTATTCAGTGTAAAACTGTTGCTATTGGTTAAAATTCAAATTTTCATGCATTTTGATCGGTTGTACGTATGTATTAATCACTACAATTTTTTGTTGTTAGAAAAATTAAAATGAAGCGACACAAACTGCCCTAAGCTCTAAAACGCCTGATAAAATAATTGGAATGATTTAAATTTTAGCGTAGTGGAGTTTAAAAACTCTTGTCCATCTAGCGATCGACACGTTAACTAACTCTGCCGATAAACTACATTTCTTTCCCACATTTTGAAGGCCAATTTCCGATTCGTAAATATTTGACACTGACATTTCTCAAACAGCTGTCGAACCAGTGTTCAGAAAACACTCATCGTTATAATTTTATTGTTAAACAATTAAAGTGTTCATTGTCATTTACCGCTCGCTCTAATTTGCTACGTTGGTGATAAATCGATTTATAAATTTCGCAATAAATACGCGCGAAATTCTTCCGTGGAGAAAGTTGTAAAATTTTCTAGTTTTGTGTTAAATTGTTTCTTATCTGTTAAAGCTTTTTGTTCTCCAACGCATCATTTACACAATCTACGTGTCGCGATTTTAAAAATAAATCTTCAATATGGTAAAGTGTAAAGTAAGTGATACATCAAACTGTGACGGGTTTTTCCAATCTTAAGACGTATTTTCCAGGAATGTGGTTGTACCTGTAATAAGTGTCTTGCAACTGATCATGATGTCCATCTACACGTCGAAATCGAAAATCTCAAGCAAAAGCTTGTCGAACGTGAGACACACATTGTGACAATGGAAACGAATTTTTTAAATGAAGCTAATAAATTTCCTAGTGGAGAGTTGGTTGCACTTCGGGAAGAACTTTTAACGTGGCAAGATAAATACAAGAGGTAAACTTTGAACATTTTTTTGACTGGCAGTATTCTGATTGGCTTGTAATTTTAGACTATATGAAGCTCATAGACGAGTCCAAAGAGTAAACCAAGGATTAGAAGATAAACTTTTGAAATTAGTTGATGTGTGTGAAACTGAAAAAACTACATTGACAAAAGATGTAGCAATATTGTCACAAAAACTTGCTGAAGCTAATTATGCTATTAAGAAACTGACAGATGATAATGTATGTAGCACAATAGAGAGCTTTTTAATTATTTATTAACCATGGTTTTGTATTCAGGAAAGGTACAAGAATGATGTTTCATTAGCAATAGAGTTTCTTCAGTGCAAACAAAGTAATTTTGTGGCCCGTAAATTTGACTCGGTATGTGCAATTTATACATTTTTTTGTAAAACTGATAATAATCATTTTGTTAACAGTTACCTCAAGAAGTACAAGTGCAAGTGTCTTCTCACATGACAAATAAACGAAAACCTGAAGAGAAAAAAGTTTCTTATGAAATGAAGAGTATCAAAGTGCCCATTCCAACATTTCCGCCAACAGCGATGGTTTATTCAGTTCCTAAATCTCCCAAACCTGATAGAATTGCAGAATCTGATGTTGAAACTCCACAAGTAGATATAGTGTCGGCTGCAATAATGGCCAAAGTATTACAAGAAAGACAGAAAGAAAAAGCATATGCAAAGCATTGTGATTCATGTACTTGTTCCAAGAAACTCCACATAGTTCACGAGATAACGCATCATACTACTGGAACCCAAACAGGCGATTACAAAAAAGCGCTGTGTCTTAGATGTAATGAATATCTTACACAGAGTCCGCAGAAAATGAGATTAGTAAAACATGACATGGCATCTAAAAAGGTACAGATATATCCAAGCGAATTCACAGACACTGCTCAAACAAATGGAAATAATATTGTTAAAGTACAGCCAAATAATTTTTTAATTGATGAAACGTCACATGTTAATCCCAGTCGCGTTATTCCCCAGTCTAACAATAATTTATTGAACAATCCAATAAAAACCCATCCTGATATAAATTTTTTCAGTACAAACGAAGCTCCTCGAGTTAAAAATTCAAAATCTCCAAAGTTAGGAGTGAAAATGGAACATCATTATCTGTGTAATGAAACGTCCCCTACTTATGAGGTACCACATAAGGATAAATCCGAATCTGATGCAATTAGTGCCAAAAATGGTTCTTCCGATAATTTAAAGGGTCCTAGATATTGTTCAATGAGATTGCAGAGTGGCACTAGAAATATTCTGCTTGATAATGCTCATAATAATGTAGCTCCAGTATTGTACAAACGCCATCACAAAATTAAACGTGAAGAAACTCCCACAACACATGAAATATCACACACGGAATCGTGCTCTAGTGAAGACTTCAAACATACCTCAGTGATAAGTGATAATTCTATGCATAATCAACAAAGAGTAGCTGAATGGGTTCAAAGTAACTTAGAAAATGAAGTTAGTAGTTCAGATAATTCTCACTCGGAACTGTTAGTTAGTCCAGAAAAAAAAGAACTAGTTAAAGTAAATAGATTGAAATATGCTGAAATGGAAGAGAATGTTAAACGGTTCTTATTTGGGGAAAGTGAGTTTCTAAAGACTGTTGAATTAGGGAAAATGAAATATCAAAATTACAGGGAAAACGAGGGTGGGGATCACACTGATAGTAATAGTACAAGAAGTAACTCGCATACTGAAACAGAAATCTGAATATATATATTAGTGCATTATTTATTTTGTGATTTAGGGTTTGTACAGAATTATTTTTATATTTTTAATGAAATTAGAAATTTGTCAATACCGAGTTTTTAAAACTTTACTTTTGTTAAATAAAATTTACTATAACAATAAGGTAGGCATTATCGCTTTATTTTTTATTTTGTGGAATCACTTGACAAGCCACATAGACACAATGTAGTAATTTAAAAAACAGTATATTTGAATATTATACCAAAGATATTTGACATTGTTTTCGTCTTTGTAGCAATAAGTGAAAGTATCGTTAATTATGTGCAGTATTTATGATCTTCATTGTATTATGAGATCATTTGTAACATGTAACAATCCTTTTCAAACCTTCAAACCGATTCTGGAACGTTGTAAAGATTAAAGTGAGTATTCTCACAATCTACCTCTAACAAAAGTTGTTGTATAAAAAAAAACAATAATGGTTGGAGGGTTGAAAACGGATTCTATATTGCTATGTCTTTGGATCATTTCCATTTATTTACTGGGAGTACAGATTTATTCGTGTTATGACTTTAGATTAGAGTTGTCAAAAATCCAAATTATTGAAATACAAATGAGGTTATGGATGACATTTGCGGTTTAATCAAAGACATGACAAATATTTCCATGGCCAACTCTAATCTAAAAACATTGATCGCCCGTTATTAACAATCTATGGTTTAGTCACTGTACAATACCAAAGTTATTTTAACTGTCTTTTCATTGGAAAATTACATTTTTTCTTTATCTTTAATTTGTTGCTGGCTGTAGATGTCTATTTCTGTTCAAAATGACCAAAACTTAAGTTATTTGATTTAATCCCAAATAAATGAAAGTGATTAAAATCGTCATACCAACGATATTTGAATCTACACTTAATGAAGCTACTTTGTCACGAATAGTGATCAGAATTGTAAACAGTGTAGGTTAAAATACGGAGCTTATATGTTACAGAAAGCCATTTAAGTAAATGCCAAGCTGTTCTATGTAAAAGTTAGCATACTATAAGCCATTTTTTAATTGAACTATTATAATTCAAGTTCGATTCTTTCTCATTGTACCTGCAGAAAATCTCTCCTCCGAATTTTACACCCTAATTTTCTACTACATAATTTTATTTATTTTTATATTCCATAGGTACTAACAGCGATTTTTCCCCAAGTTATACCTATGTTTCCGTCGATAAAATAAAATTTAATAACCATTTTTGAAGGCGATATCAATTAAAAAGTGGAAATTATATGTCGTTTTTAAAAGTATATAATATTTCACAAGCTTTATATCTTTTAGAAGCTTCATTATCTCTTACCGCACTGCTTCCGATTTGTGTAAAACGTATCCTTAACCTCATATTTTTAATGCATTATGTAAATTCCGTACTTGCTTGTTGGTCCAGAATTTCAGTTGAGTGATTGTACCAGTTGCCAAATTTTTTAAAAACATCTAAATGTGGACTGAAACTCTGGACGAACAACGATTAATTTAATTTAGTTTGAAAAAAATCGACGCTGTGATTTATCATGTATGTGAGATTTTAAAATAGAATAGTAGAGGAAACTCTTTTTACATATGAGTTACCTGACCAATTGCTTTAGTTATTTTCATAAGTTTTTTGTGTGATACACATATGAATTGCTAACTGCAGAAAGGGGATATATCACATTTTTCAAAATGTTGAGGAAATGAATAAAACGTCTCAGATTTTTACAACTACTTGTTTCCGATCCCCGTTTTCAATTGTCGGTTCTCTATGTTCTCAGTTATCAACGAGTGTTGGTTAAATGCATGTTTTCTTTTTTGGGTCAATTTGGCTGTCAAATTTGACACTTGGACATATCCCCTTTTTGCAGTAAAATGAAAAAAAAGGTAAAAAAAACACAAAAAACAGCTTTATTTCAGTTATAATTTTACACAAACATGTTATATGTATATCTGACTAAAAAACTTAATCATTATCGCGCTCCTGTTCTACAGTTGGCCAAGTAGCAATCTCCTGCCAAAATGCGTTATAAGCGTCTGGGATAAATCGTAAAGTGTTTGTTATATCCGTCATTTTCTTCTGGCTGATGGCTAGTTATTATACTAATTTTGCACTTAATACACGTAGTCATCTTCTCACAACAAAAATTTAAATCATGTTTAAAACGGTAAATTTTTGTAGGAACTACGAATTTTGCAATTCTGCTCCGCCCCCCAGTCTGGCAACAAATGAAAATTTCACCACTATTGAGTTCGCGGCAGGTGTGGGTGGGGCCTAGTTTAATGATGAATTTTTCATTCATTTCCAGGCCGAAGAGTGAAGCGTCACTGAAAAATCTATATTTCCCTACAAAAATTTACTATTTCAAACATGTTTTAAATTTTTGTTGTGAAAAGATGGCTGCGGAGATTAAGAAAAATTGGCAAAATGTAAGCCCCGCCCACCCACCCTATCTCAATTGTGATGATTTTTTTTATTCGTCGTGAGCCAAGGGCGTAGCTTAATTGCAAAATTCTTATTTCTTTACAAGAAATTACTATGTAAGACATGTTTTTGAGCGTCGTGTTGGATAAGAATAATAATTAAAAAAAATAGAATTTTGCAGTTAAGCTCCGCCCTCTTGGCTCACGACGAATATAAAAATCATCACAATCGAGATAGGGTGGGTGGGCGGGGCTTATACTAATTTTGCACTTGATATACGTAGTCATCTTCTCACAGCAAAAATTTAAAACATGTTTAAAATGGTAAATTTTTGTAGGGAACTACAAATTTTGCAATTATGCTCCGCCCCCCAGTCTGGCAACGAATGAAAATTTCTCCACTATTGAGTTCGCGGCAAATGTGGGTGGGGCTTAGTTTAATGATGAATTTTTCATTCGTTTCCAGGCCGAGGAGTGAAGCGTCACTGAAAAATCTATATTTCCCTACAAAAATTTACCATTTTAAACATGTTTTAAATTTTTGTTGTGAAAAGATGACCGCGGAGATTAAGAAAAAAGGGCAAAATATAAGCCCCGCCCACCCACCCTATCTCAATTGTGATGATTTTTTTATTCGTCGTGAGCCAAGAGGGCGTAGCTTAATTGCAAAATTCTTACTTCTCTACAAGAAATTATCATGTAAGACATGTTTTTGAGTGTCGTGTTGGATAAGAATAACGCAAGACGTTGAGACCACGGTGTTTACTGCAGAAAGTCGATATCTCCTGGACATATCCCTTTTCTGCTGTAACCGTAAATTTCATCCGCTTGTAGCCCCGAGCTAAATCATTAAACATGGCCCGTTTTTGCAGTAAAGATGTGTTTAGACCTCTAGAACACGATTATGTACGAATGTTATTGTGGTAAAAAATGGGACATGTCCCCTTTCTGCAGTTAGCAATTCATATATTGTGACAGTTTGATGTGTTTTGTGAGAATTTTTATTCTAACAAGTAAACAGAGGCGAGTGACATGAAAAAGAATTGGAGTTACGCCGAAACGTTATTTTGTCGTAATGCCTGTCATAATTTTTCTTTGTATTCTTTAAGTACGGATCTGTTTTTCGGTACCATTCTTGTTTAAATTAAGCACCTTCGTGACATTTTTATTTGTATCTCTATGTACTGATGTTTCAGATCTTACGATTTAGTAAGCAAAAAAAGTTTTGTGTAGTGTTCATTTTCATGTCATTCACCATTTAGGGAAGTTCATGTGTAAAAAAAAATCATTAGTCTCATTCTAGTGTGTAGCTACTTAGTTTAAATAAATACAATATTTATCCATATAAGACTGACACGAAGTTTTATTTTACCACATTCTGTGCTTGATTGAGTGTGATGCTGATGATAATCTGCAATATTACATGACAGTTTGTGATTAATTGTAATTAAATATGACTGTGTAAAGTGAGTACATTGTTTCTTCTTTTTGTCTTATTAGACTTCATAAGAATATACGAAGAGATATATTAAGACTTGGAGTGATGATATAATTTCACGAAAATTATGGCAAGTCAATTCGTTATAGGTCAGTAAAGAGACCCCGCTCTAAAAATATTACAATAATGTTACTTATTACTCAGTTAAACAATAATTAGCTCAGTTTCTGCAATTAAGTTCAATTTACATATGAATAAAGTATACTTTTTATGTCTGGAACTGACAGTTATTGTCCAAGTCAGAGTAAGTAATTTCAGAATTATTGGCCAACACCAGTATGTTTATATGGTTAATTACAGGGAGATTTTAGTATATTTTGTAATACATAATTATATTTTCGCCACTATCGTAGAGGTGTTTCTGTAAAAAATTGTTTTAACAGTTTTACTGAAGCAAAAAAAATTACAAGAACTGGTAGGGTTTAAGTTACGTGACAGTGTCCCGCCCAAAACTTCGAAGGATAGTATTTCTCAACAATTTAATTTTCCTCTAAAGGTTGTAACTGTACTTTGAAAGTGTTTTATGACTTATAAGTAGAGAGCGGAAAATATGCAGCAAAATTTTGAGAAATATGATCATATGATATGCACCAAATTTATGCAAATATGCAGTAACTTTCTTAATATATGCAGAGATATGCAGTTGCATATGCTCCAAAAATTAAAAAAAGAAGCTTAATAAGCGAACTAAATTTATTTATAAAATTCAAAAACAGATTTCCCGAGCTTACGTTTTATTACAAAAAATACATAAATCACATTGCAAAGTGTTTAATTACATCTCACTAACACATAAATCACGTTTTTAAAGATAATATTCTTATACTAACAAATAAATATAAACAGATCAAATTAAAAACTAGTACAGTGAAACCTGTCTATGCCGGACTCTGTAGAAGGCGGAAAACTGCTCATCGCGGAAATTTTCCGCAGTCCCTTTTTTCAAATACCTAATTTAATGTATTTTGGTCCGTATAAGCCGGAAACTGCATAACGCGGAAACGGAAAATATTTGTAAGTCCCAAAGTGTCAAAATACATGCACCCAACTCAGTGTAAAACGGAAGCGAGAACAAAATTGATGATTTCTACGAAAAATATGTAATTCAATTGCAGGTGCATTTTTTGTCAACAGAAAATCACTGTTCTCAATTCTCATTTAATTGGTGTCTCTCGTGGTTATATGTGTGTTCGCAATGGCCCAAAAAACGACCAACAATAACAGCAAAACGGATTTAATTAATGTACACGAGCAGCAAAATTTGAGTGTTAAAGAAGTTTGCAAAAGTTCGGTTGCAAAAAACTCAAGTGTATCAAATTATAAAACATATTCCTAAAATAAATTAGAGAATAATGGCAAAGAGGTGAGCGTGTAGCCAACCTTTTGCAGTTGAGAACAAGCATGGAAAATATATCTCAATGGCCGAAAAAGCAAATAACAATAAACAACTATTTCAAATAATTCTTTTATATGTACCTATGTATTCAATTTAATAAAAATTGATTTCCATTTTATAGAGGTTTACTTTCCGTCATAGCCGGGTTTCCTATAAAAGCCGGAACCCTGTTTAAGACGGATAAAAATTTTGGACCCGGGCGATTCGGGCATAGACAGGTTTTACTGTAGTAATCCACTATTTCATTACTACTTTGGCAACAATTTGTTTTTAGATATTTTTTTAAATATTCTAACAAAAAGTTTTTCCGGTGATTCTAAAGTAAATGTATTTGTAAATAGAAAAAATGTGTACTACGTCCACAGATGTAAAAATACTTACCGGTTTAGGGCAGGCGCGACAAAACACAGTTCGTTCTTAAAGAATAACTTCAGGAAAAGATTTAATCCATAAATTAATTTGAGTATCTTCGACATATTGATACACCTGTATCCCTTTAAATGCTTTCAATACAAACTCACGATGAAAAATAATAGTATAACGTCCCTTCGACCACCACTAAACGTGCCATTAATACACTTAACTAACGAACAAAAATATTGGGAATGAACGGTATTTCCAAAAGTAATTAGGGCGCGAATTTACCTGGAAGGATGGCTTAACACACAGTGGTGTCTCCAAACTACCATAAAACCCAAACCTTTTCTAATTATTTGAAGCTCAGGACCTCGCTCAGGACAATATTTGCAATAAGATTCATAAAATTTCGTCTTTCTAGATAAATGCCTGTAATTGTTGTCGTCGAATTACTAACGGAAACGGTTTTAGTACAGGTTTATTTACAATACCAACTACAAAAATGATAACACGGCCCAAGGTTGTATGTGTATGTCCACGTGGAGGTCTTGAAGAGAAGAGGACGTCTGTACACGGTGAGTGGTCGGAGAAGAAGAAGGCGTCTGCACCCGGTGAGTGGTCGGAGAAGAAGAGAGTCTGTTTTACGTTTCCACCGTGGCGTTTCCTCTTTGGGCTTGCGCGTTGTAACTGCCAATCCGGTGGCTGCATTATGTATGTATAACTGGTTGCCTACTTCCAGGCGGCCACAGTAGTCCCCTCCCAGTGACTACGTTTCGTAGTCGCGGAATTTCACTGGTGGCCTGGCTGTTCTTCCTGACCTTGTAGTGGTGCTCGTCGACGCAGGTGTTGTCGGGACCTGTTGCGTTGGGGGCTGTACATGAGGCGGAGTGCAGGACTCTGCCG